GCGTAAGCGTTGGACTAGGTCTAAGTAAATTACTCTATACATGAATTGCATATTGACCTCAAGTCAAAGGACTATTACACCATTCTACACACCAATACTCCCATAGACACATGAACAAATGGTTTATCGGTAGGGTATACCAATACTCTCTAAAATATCCATGTGTCCATCACGAATAACAATTATTCATAGTAGTGAGACATACTATATTCTCGAAGAATATGATGCAGACAACATGTCGATCTATAACGTATCATTAATATCCCTTTCTTAATGATCATTGATTGAGGCAATTTAAGAGTTATACTCTATGGATGAACATCTCACTCTGTTAATGACAATATTAACTCAAGGGAGCATTTAATTAATAAGTTACAGACAATCAAAAGAATTCATTAATTAATGCAAAACCATGAATATCATCAAATATAATATGAATGTGATCAAGTACATTTGTCCCACATTGATTGTCTCTAGGACACATATACTAACAGGTTAATCATATTCGTCATCAAGTACGAGAGGTGAAAAAGGAGAGGGGAAACTCGCCTAAAAATGAGAGGTTGGAATGGAAAAGAGAAGATAGGTGGAGATGTCGGTAAATACGAGATGGACACATATACGAGAAGTACACTCCACTCAGGTCGAATCCAGCTGAGGATCTGAGGTCTTGGAAACAATGGAAAAGAGGTTGGATGGAGATAAGTTGACATGGCCGAGGTCGAAGAAAGAAGGCTCAACGCAGCCAAGGTCTGGTTTATATTGTCGATTCTATCGAGATTACTACCACACCACATATAACTGCAGACACTTTAGGATGAGATCAAGAGATTGATTATGGCTTGTTATATGATGGAGTTTGTGTATAAGGCCATAAAGAAAAATAGGTCAAATGAGAGACAACAGTGATTCTGATGAATAATAATAATAATAATAATAATAATAATAATAATAATAATAATAATAATAATAATAATAATAATAATAATAATAATAATATAATAATAATAATAATAATAACCTATATATAAAATAAATAAGATAAATAATAAAAATAACATTAAATAATTAAGCTATTTGTCTCCATCTAAAAGTCTTGTTCACAAATACAACCCCTATGTTTGATCATTTAATTAGCTAGGTATATGTTGAATTATACGTTGTCCATATTTTAGTATGGTATGCTATTGCAATGATATATGTTTATTGTCTCATTGGTGGAGCTTAATTTTAGAATCTTATTAAAGGTTGAACTAGTACATTTTCCGCGTGATACAAAATATTAAATGAGTTATTTTCACAGGTTTTGTCCGTTTAAGTCTAAAAAATAATATAATATCATTTTTTTTACCTCTTTTAGTCAGCATTGACTCTAAAAAACAATAGAGTTATAATCTATGTTTCACCTCTTTTAATCATCATTATTTTATTCAGAACATTAAATATGAGCATGTTAAGGCTAGCTTGTAAAATAATTAATGTATTATCTCACTAACACATTTATATTAATCTCAATTTAACCTTAGCATATATATTATTCCTTGATATAAGAGAAAATAACAGTTTTACATGCTTTTTTCACCATATATTACTTAATTAATATTTTATGGTCGCCATTCAATTAAAAGAATCTCTGTTTCAGAGCCGTACATGAGATTTTTACCTCATACGGTTGATTTTGAAGATTTTTTTTGTTCTCTAGAATTTTTTTATTTTAAATTTTTTTGTCATAGAATGCCATTACTATTTATAAAAGTTATAGAAGTTGTACGTCTTTTTTAATCTAATGAAAAATATTTTAATAATATTTATTTATGTAATCAATTTAAAATATGTAAATAAATTTAAAATTAAATAGTGTATAAATAATATTTTATAAAATATACACACATATATTTTAGAATTTAATTTTGTATACTAATTAAACAACTTTGATTTAGAAAATACCAAAAACTCAATCCCTTCTAAAATCAAGGTTTTTCTAATTTACATTGCAAGGATTTTATAGTTTATTTAGCATAATCTGCAATGAAAATATATTTTTACAAGAATTTCATTAAAGAAATAAATTATAATAAAAAAATGATAAAAAATAATCATAGTTTCCAATAATATACAAATAAATTTTAAAGATCAGTTATATATTTTAATTTTAATTTTTAGCCATGAGTAAAACTATTTAATGTATCTAGTCATTATCTCTTAAATGGTAAATTATATTAATTTAAATAATAATTTATTTTTTATATATAACAAAATAAATTCTACCTAACATGTTATGATTTTCTATAAATATGTTTAGATAAAAAGTGAATATTTGTGAAAAAAATTATTTTTATGGTTAGAACATAAAATATGCTGTAATATTTATCATGACCAAAATATTATCAACACGAATCACGGAAAATCAATCTTGCAATTTATTATAATGGCTATCAATGAAATTATTGTAGATATTAATAAAATTATTTAAGAAGACAATATTTTTCAACATATCCGATTTGATTTTATTTGACAACGTATATATAGAAGCAATGAATGCATATATTTAAAAAATTTCCCAAAAATGTATGCATTAAATGCTCTCAAAAGTTTATATTACTATTTTTATTAAATAGTTATTTTTTATTATATATCTATATATATATGAATTTCAATTATAAATTTATAATAAAAATATATCAAGCATAAAAACATTTTATTATATATATATTTTTAAATAACTCATTCTTTTATAATAGCATATCGAGGACTAATTCCCCTTTTTTATTTTCTAAATTAAGAACTAATTTTTTTATTTATTTTTATGATATTTTCAACCTTAGAGTATATATTAAGTCATATTTCTTTTTCAATCCTTTCTGTTGTAACTACAATTCATTTGATAACCGTTCCTCCCATTCCTTATAAATTGACCTTTTCTTTTTATTTAATATTTACCCAAAAAAAAAGGCTCTCATTAGCTTTATAAATGTGATAAAAAAATAAAACAAAATTTATTTGAAAAGTGATTTGTCGAATGAAATTGGGGGAGTTTGAAATAGAACCATTGATATGCCAGCATTACAGCATAACTTTCTGAATCATGTAACTAATAATAAAAATATGAAATACTAATCTTCCATAGTTACTCTAAAATAAGTGTAATATAATAATTAATAATAAAAATATTAATATTAATAAAAATATAAAATACTAATCTTCCGCAGTTATTCTAAAACTAGTGCGACCCGTGCGATGCACGAGCTAGTTTTATTAAAGTAAATATTTAGAGTTGGATGATTGGATGATTGTAAAAACGTATAACGCACGTATTGGAATAAACAAAATGTAACTTATATATTATTAAACACATCTATGTACACAACATTATTTGTTTGGTCTTTTGGTACACCGCCTATCACCACAAATTGTATTAGGATTGGATATAGACTTAAATAAATCAATTAATTATTTAGAAGGATATATATGATATTTTGTAAATGTATGCGACCAATATTTATTTTGTAATTGTATGCAATCAATTTCAAATTTGTATTCTAGCGGAAACTCAAATTCTTAGGATGTTCGATTTCATTTTGAATTGCAAATTAATATTATCTGACTCTATTTTATGTTTAAAAAACCCGAACTAAAGAAAGTAATAGCCAAATGATAAATGTTTTTAAATTTTAAGTTTTTCAATTTTTATTAGACCTGATTTATGTGCAATCCAATTGTTATCATCCGACCCGGTAATCCAAGATTATTCACCCGGAATCACGTGTTAGAGAAACCATTATCGGTACTAGCTTAAACCATGATCACTTCAGTTCATATCGCGACCGAACTCCAGCTCGACGCGGAGACAACCGACCTGTCCTATGAAAATCAAAGTCACCATAAACCGAGGTCATCAAAATCTAAGCAGGTGACAGGACACCTACGCAACCTGTTCTTACACAACAAATTATGTCATCATTCAAATGGGTCCCGCTGACAGAACCGCCCTCCAAAAGCTACTTTATGGAAATGCAACCGTATACCTCGATTCACGGGTCCAGAAAAAATACTATAAATAGAAGATTCTTATACTTGTACAAGGATCGCTCTCTGAACATTGACATATATACAAAAACGCCCAACACCTTTCACCTCGGTTCACCTCGGACCGGGGCCATTGTTTTTGTTTTGATGCATGCTTTACGTGCAAATCACTTATAACACTTTGCTAATCTCATATAGAATCGTTGTTAACAATCAGACAACAACACCAATATTTTTAATAAACACGATATGTTGAAATTAGGTAAAAATACATGTTATAGTATTTTGTCTAATTCAAAATTCCCGATTTTATGGTAAACATATTTTTTTTAGTAAAAAAAATGAGAGAATACAAAATTGTCATACCAAATTTTACATAATTTAATCTGATTTCTATCCTACTCGATTTTTTTAATAAACAATTAATATGTTGCAAGTAGTAAAAAATATTTGTGATTGTATTTTGTCTAATTCGAAATTCCTAATTTTATGGTATTCAGTTTTATTTTAAAAAAAAATAAAAAATGAGAAAGAGTTTGACTTTTAAAAAAATGTAAGCATGAATCGAAATTTACCTAAATTAAATAAAAAAACCCATGAATTTAAAGTGCATATATAGCTGATTGATTTTCTCATAAATAATTTTAAAAAATCAAAACGGTAAAAAACATGTTGATTGATTTTTCAGTTTTTCTTGTTACTATTTTTGGTAAATGTGTCGTCTCTTTATACATATCTATACACAAATTAATTATATTGTAGCATTTTATCATTTTCCTCTTTTACAAATCGGTTGTTGAACCAAAATACCTAACTAACGCAATGGCGGATATTTCGAAGCTGTAGAGCTTCTCCTCACTTAGCTCTGTAGATGCAAAAAGATCCCACATTTCATCTCCCTCAAAGGCCTCCATTGTTGATTTGCTCTATCTAACGCTTGTTGGGCCATACGTCTTTGAACTTCTCCATCTCCCATGGACGTCTCGTTGCCCCTGGATCAAATCCAGAGCGGCTACAGATTCGCTTGCTCCTTGATAAATCCCACCAATTTCAAACATAAACTCCCCTTCAATGGCGATATCTTCTCACCGAGAAGGAAATTCTCTCAATTCAGGTGCTATATGTTGGACCAGGGATTAAGGCCCCGACCGATGCCCACAAAACCTTTAAAAGAATTCAACAATTGGGAAGAAAATCCTCCCGAGGATCCGAATTCCAGTTCCGGTATCTGCGGGCAGATAGAAAAATTGGTTCTTTGCAAGAGGTACGCCGAGGCTGTCGAGCTATTTGAGATTCTTGAATGCGAGAGTGGTTATCATGCTGTCAAGGCCAGTACTTACGATGCATTGATCGGCGCATGTGTACTACTGAGATCGATCACGGGCGTCAAGCGAGTATTCAACCACATGCTGAATTCCAAGGTCAAGCTCGATTTGTACATGATGAACCGGGTTTTGTTGATGCACGTGAGGTGCGGGATGACTATGAAGGCCCGCCTGCTGTTTGAAGATATGCCCGAGAGAAACACTGTCTCCTGGAACATGATAATCGGCGGCCTTGTCGACTCGGGTGACTTCATAAATGCCTTCAGATTGTTCCTCAGGATGTGGTCAGAGGAGGATGATATGGAGACTGCTGGGTCCCGCACGTTTACCATCATGATCCGGGCCTCAACTGGCCTGGAGCTCATATCCTCCGGCCAGCAGCTTCACGCTTGCACCATAAAGATGGGCTTCGGTAGTGATGTGTTCATTTTGTGCGCCTTGATCGATATGTACAGCAAATGTGGTAACATTGAGGACGCCAAGTCCGTTTTCTATTCCATGCCAGAGAAAACGACTGTTGCCTGGAACAGCATAATTGCGGGCCACGCCCTCCACGGCTACAGTGAGGAGGCGCTCGCCATGTCTAATCAGATGCAAAAATCGGGGGCTAAGATGGACCACTTCACATATTCCATAATCGTGCGGGTCTGCTGCAGGCTGGCTTCGGTGGAGCACGCGAAGCAGGCCCACGCAGGCCTTGTACGGAATGGGTTCGGTTCAGACACGGTCGCCAGCACGGCCCTCATCGACTTTTACAGCAAATGGGGAAGACTGGAAGACGCCCGGAACTTATTTGATAGAATGCCCCACAAAAATGTCATGTCATGGAATGCCTTGATAGCCGGATACAGAAGCAACGGGCGTGGGCACGAGGCAGTCGAGCTTTTCGACTGCATGACTCGCCAGGGGATGAAGCCCAACCACGTCACGTTCCTTGCTGTCCTGTTCTCCTGCTGCAGCTCGGGCCTGACAGCCCGGGGGTGGGAGATATTTAAGTCAATGGGGCTGGACCATGGAGTGAAGCCACGGGCCATGCACTATGCATGCATGGTCGAGCTTCTGGGCCGGGAAGGCCTGCTGGATGAGGCCTTTGCGTTGATAAGGGATGCCCCATTCAGGCCCACTGTGAACATGTGGGCTGCGCTGCTCACGGCCTGTAGGGTCCACAAGAACCTGGTGCTCGGGAAGTATGCAGCTGAGAGACTCTACAGATTGGAGCCCGAGAAACTGTCGAGCTACGTGGTGCTTTTGAATATTTATTATGCGTCCGGGAAGATGGAGGAGGCTGCTGCTGTCCTGAGAACGTTAAGGAGAAAAGGTCTTAGGATGCTTCCGGTGTGTACTTGGATAGATATTAAGCAACAGCAGTATGCGTTCTTTAGTGGGGATAGGTCGCATCCCGGGAGCAAGGAGATATATGATAATTTGGATGAGGTCATGCAGGAAATTTTGAAGCATGGATATGTTCCACAGATAAAGACTTTGCTTCCCGATGTGGATGAACGGGAACAAGCTTTGATGTTTTATCATAGTGAAAAATTAGCTATATCATACGGACTGATTAATACGCCTGCTTTTTCTCCCTTGCAGTTTGTCCAGAGTCATAGAATTTGTGATGACTGCCATAGTGTGATCAAGCTGATCTCCATGGTTTATAAAAGAGAGATTGTTTTCAGGGATGGTAGTAGGTTTCATCGTTTCAGAGATGGAAGTTGTTCGTGTGGAGATTACTGGTGAATTACTAGTTATCGTATTTTTTGAAGCTTCCTGGAATTCCAATCCAGGCTATGTGAGATTTTTTTTTTT